CTGCTGCTGCCATCCGCAGGATTGTGGCCACGGTGAGAGCCAGCCCGGGGCCCTGCTGTGCTGGGCTGGAGAAGAGCGAGACCCAGGGACGGGCCCGTGTCCAGACCTGAGCCCCAGAGGGACCGTAGTGTCCCCAGGGGAGGGTGTCTCTGCCTGTGTGCCAGGGCAAGCTGTGTTCCTGTGGGACAGCCCCACTGCCACCCCGGCAGCACAGCTGGGAGCAGGGCTCTGCTGGCCACGCTCTGGAGGGGGTGCAGGACAGGGGCTGTCCTTTCCCCTGAGCGTGGCAGCAGTGTGGGCCCTCCAGGGTGTTCTGTGCTGGCCACGACTGCTCTCCAGGCTCTGCTGTCCCGTCCCCACAGCAGGAGCCTCGGCAGCCGGGCTCCAAGTGGGTGGCACTTTTTGGGTGGCTGTGTGAGGAGAGGGTGGGGGCTCCCGCCAGTGAGGCGGGGTGAAGAGCTGTGCCAGATTGGCAGAGGTGTCTGGTGTCTCCCCACTGCCAGGCACGGGTGGGAGCTCGCAAGTTCCAGAAGGTGATTCTGACAGTGTCTCCAAGGGGCATCTCGCTGCAGGACGCAGACACGAAGGAGATGGTTGAGAACATCTCCATCTACAGGTGGGCATGGTCGTGTGGAGGTGTTCCCCAGCAGCCGACTGGAGACCTAGGGGATCTTGAGTGGCCAGGGAGGGCTGGGCCTTCTGTCAGTGGTACCTTCAAGCTTAGGTCTTCCTTTGGCTCCCGGCGGCCCATGTCCTCTCCCTGCCGTGCCCCACAGCACTGCCTGGCACTGAAGGCAAGCAGGGTCCTGAGCTCTGGGTCGGTGGGTCTTTCCCCTGGGCCCTGCTTGTCTCTTCTGGCATTGGAGCAGGATGTGGAGGCTGATGGTTGGGAAGCCCCCCAGGTAGGGCAGGACATCTGCCTCCACAGACACAGGACAGCTCTTCTGGCTGCAGTGGCACCGGGGTGCCGTGGACTGACTCAGGCTAGCTAAAGGCGGTTGCTGTGAGACCTGAGGTGGGTTTTTCCACTGCTGCCAGCTGTGCTTTGGCTGGGTTGGGCATCTGTGGGTGCTGGGTGTGAGGGGAGCTGGGCTGCAGGCTGGGTGGCCAGATGAGAAGCAGAGACAGGACATCTCTTTGGTGCAGCCGTAGGTGCCAGGGAGCTGCTGGCCCCCGCTGCAGGGTTGGGCTGCCCAATAGCTGGGGCAGATGAAGGGCTTGGGCTGCCAGCACTGTTGGGAGCACAGCAGAAGACCTGTGCTGGGCTCCCTTGCTCTGAGCAGCTCCTCTCTGCCCGCAGGATCTCCTACTGCACAACAGACAAGCTGCAGAACAAAGTCTTTGCTTACGTTGCCCAGAGCCAGGAGAGCGGGGCGCTGGAGTGCCATGCCTTCCTCTCACCCAAGAAGAAGATTGTAAGCACTTCCCTTCTGCTTTTGGCTCCGTGAGGTAAGGGTGGGAGCAAGGGCCTTCCTTCTGCCCCTCCAGACAGAGGCAGCC